CAAGTTTTCATACTAAAATCCTATGGAAAAGCACTACATCTTTTGCTACTATCTCTCCCACTACCAGCGTAAAACTTTTCTACTTTAAATCGGTCTGGCTCTTGCCTTGCAACCGAGTTATTGTCTGGCAAATTGATTTTGGATTCATTAGTACTTAAACAAGAGTATGTTAAATTTTGAGCTTTACTAAAATGATTTGAACATTTTTTTTTAATAAAAAATTACGTCAGGCACATTGTAAGCAGCAACAGACATGTCAAAAATCTATGTTTCTAAATGCTACTTAAAGCCAAAGAAAAGAAAATGAACCTTACTAAAACTATTTAAAAATAATACCGGATGGCCCCCACGCCAACCGAGGGAGTAAGAGAGATGTCATTATTAAAAAAAACCAGCTGTTCTAAAATTCTTGTTTTCACGACGTTGCTAGTTCCGGTACTATATGGTGTGTAATAATTTCGTAGCTGTAAAGATTACCAGTGGCTCACTAGGACAAAATATATATTAATGTAAACATATCGATTTTGCTGTGCAATAAAGACACAATAAGAAATTCAAAAAATTTAAACCCTTGCTACTGTTGAGTGGCTCAGGGCTCTAATCCTGCTCGAATCCACGTCTAATCATTAGTATTTACTTTAGCAATCTTTACTGCTTACTTTAGTAGGGGTTGAAAAAGGATGGGACAAGGATTAGAAACAATAGCCACTTAATAGTAGAAAACTTTTTATTTATTGAAATTTGAATTGTGTCGTTATTGCAGAGGATCATCGATATGTATGTACATAGATTCAAAACTTTACAGCCATTTTTCGTGAGTTTTTGGTTTCTTGAGTTATAAATGAGCGTTATGGGCATTTTCACGATATTCATATTGGATATCGAAGAAAATTTTTGAACGTTCGCCCCAACCTTTTTTGGATAATTTTCTTAATATAAATATATACCGAAGTTTTTGCCGAAGCCTAATTTTCTTGCAATCTAAATTTTTATTTATTTTTAACATGTATACCGATGTGGTGTAATGGTTAGCATTGCGCGCTACCACTCCTAAGGGTCTGGGTTCAAGCCCTGGTCAAAGCAACATCGAATAAAAAATAGAAATAATGTTTTTTCTTAACAGCGGTCGCCCTTCGGCAGGCAATGGGAAGCCTCCGAGTGCCATGAAAGAGCTTCTGATAAAATCCATTTGGCGTTCGGTAGCGGCGTAAAACTGTAAATTCCTCCATTTGTGTCACAAAATCAAGATGCACACCACAAACTGAAGGAGAAGCTCGTCCAAGCACATAAGAGTAAGAGTAAGTACCAAAATATTATTATTTTATTATTTAAGTTCATTTAAAAAAAAAATGTATATTTGCTACATAGCAATGACTTTGGGCTGAGATTGAACTGTGACTACAATTATTTTAAGAAAATTTGTTTTTTTTTTTTGTTTATACATACATACATAAGAGGCAAATACGTTTCTATGTATTTTGTCTTTTATGTACCCTTAAAAAGGCAGGCGTACTTTTTGAAAAAATGGATTTACTTAATTTTAAAGTAGCCGGCCAAATGTTAGATCAAAACCGAACGGTCGGTTCGGTCAAAAAATTTAATTGAGATTTTTTCATTTATTTAACTTCCGGTGTGATATAAATTTTTATCATTAAGAAAATACCGTGGTGCATTTTAGTATGTTTAGAACTTAGTTAGAAATTAGCAAAAAAATAAAAAATAATTGTGATAGAAAAATTTCGTTTTTTTTCTATTGTAGATATTACTTAATAATTCTTCACAAGGTTTCTTGTTAAATTGGAGGTCGCAATAATAGTTTACTGGATCGGGCTACATGTCAGCGTATTAAATAAATGACAAATAAGAATTAGTAAGAAAGTGTAGGTTTTATAGTGTTATTGTTATTTTCATTTACTTATTCCATTTATTTTGAATTCGTTTGACAGTTATCAGGTCATGAAGATTTTATCGGTTAGGTGACAAGCTCTCCAAATGCAAAGTTTCATAAATTAAGTTACAGAAAGCAAAAGGAAAACAAAAAGGGTTTCAAAAAGTCTTCAATCGAAAGGTTTCATTTTGAAACAAGACAGCTTTTAGTGTTGCATTAATTTATTTATTTTTTTAAAATCTACCAATTTTATTTAACACTTTCATTAGTTATCCACTTTTAAAACACATTTTCCAATTTAATTGTTTCCACACATAAATACTTCAGTTATTTCTAGTAAATCTTGTATATACAAAGCGCGGGGCGTTACGATTGTAGCATTCCGCGCAGCGTTTCACAAACTAACCGCTCAACATTGCGTTTCAAACGATGGGCCGAGATTTGGCTCGCACTTAGTGAATGAACAATAGCCACTGGCTATAACTAGCACTAAACAAGCAAACAGACAAACAGTGGAACAGTCAACTTGCGGCAGCGTCGAAGGTTCGCATTTGACTACATTGACGACGATCGCTTTGGCTGCGGTCTCATCGCAGCGGAGAGCTTATAGCTTTCATCGGTACTTGGCTGCTGATGGCTTGACTGCATGCTTGTTGTTGTTATTGTTCCTTATGTGCATAGCTTCTTGCGGCGCTCCCACAGCCCAATTTGTTGGCCAGTTCATCTTTGCATTCCTCATTCGGCTACATATGAAGCGAGCGTTATGGGTGTCTGCGCTACGAGAAGGTTCGCCTCATCATTGGGCAGGTTATGCATGTGCTATTCGTCAAATGTGCAAATGTATGTGAGTAGGTACATTAGGGTGGTCCAAAAATACATAGGAAAATCAGCTTTTTAAATTTATGCTGCTCGCACCCCCAGATCTGAAGAATATCAAAAATAAGTAGACACGTATTTTTTATTTTTTTGAAATCGATTAATATTTAACCATGCCGCCGGGACTTTTTAGGTTTTCCACGTATTTTATATGGGGAAAATGCATTTTTTTTTGTAGAATTCTTATAAAGTCGTTAAAAATAAATATTTTTTAATCGAATAATCCCTTCAGAAGTTTTAACAAATAACACTATGATGCTTAATTAACTTTTTAATTTTTTAATAACCGATAATCGTATCTGTTATATACAAAAATTAGTTATTTTATGTTTTCATAGCCATATCACGCACGAACATCTCAATGTTTATTAATTTTTTTTGTCATTCTACGCGATGATTTCTGTGGGTATGTGAAAAAAAATTGTGAAAAATAGGGTTGCCATATATTTGAAAATTTAAAATTAGTTAAAGGTTCAATAAAAACTAAAAGCATTTGAAGAGATTTAAAAATATTTTTGTACAGGGTTGTCACCTTTCTAAAAAGTACAACAACGGTTATTAAAAATTTAATCTTATATAATGCACTCCCAGCAAAAGTTTAAAAAAAAACATACTTAAGTTCACATATATTTTTGGATATGGTTGCCATTTATCAGTAATAAACAATTCTTAAATCATGCAGTTAAGTAAAATATGAGTTTCAAACAAAAGGTGTTGAAATAAAGCTTTAACCCCTGCATATTTCTTGATAGAGTTGAAACCTATCTAAAAAAATTAAATGAGTGAGATGTATCGTCGCTACCATGTCAAATTACCAAATGTGCAGAAATGCGTATTGCATCCCTTCACTTAACTTACGTAATTACATCATCTAAGTTAACAGATTGTTGTATTAGATAAGCTTAAACTTTTAATAATCATTGTTCGATTTTTTTAAAGGTGGCAGCACCGTTCAAAAATATTATTAAATATCTTCATAACGCTTTTAGCTTTCATGAAGGAACTTAAACATTTTATTGACCTTTAAATAATTTTAAACTTTAAAATATCTGGAAACCCTATTTTTCAAAATTGTTTACCACAAACCTACAGAAAACATCGAACAAAATGCAAAAAAGAATTAAATACAAGATGTGCTTATGAAAACATAAAATAACAAATTTTTGTGTATAACAGATAGTATTATCGGTTATTAAAGCACACATTATAGTGCTTTTTTTGAAGACTTCTGTAGGGCAATAGTCTTACTCGATAAAAAAATATTTATTTTTAACGATTTTGTAGCAATTTTACGAAAAAAAATATGCGCATTGAAAACTTCAAAGCCCCGGCGGCACGGGTAAATAATAATCGACTTAAAAATAAAAAAATACGTGTCTCCTGAAGGAAACAAATTTTGGACCACCCCAATGTACATACATACCACTTATACAAATGTGTCTGCATATTTTTTTTATATTTGCTCATCTACTTTGTAGCCTGATCGCTTACCTGTTTACTTGTGGACTTTTGTTGGCACTTTTATTGCGTTACATCTAAGTAAGTATGCATGTATGTATGTATATAAAATATTTATGCTGTTATTTGCCCTTCCTCTCTGGGTTTGTCACTCTCATGCGCTGTTGATGATCATCATTCGCTGTGCTCATCGGACGCCAAAGCTCTCATCTCAATCAGTTTTCGTCGGTAGCATGGTTTTCTTGTTTTTTGCTGTCTCTCGCTTCTTTTTTTTCGCCGAGCGTTCTTGCACTTGACCACCTTCTTTCTTGGTGAAGCGCGATGCCATTGCTGAGTCGGCGGTGCTAAGACCCGACTGATTGTATATGACCAGTAGGAACTTCACAACTTATTTTGTGGCATGGCGCGCCATTCCGGTGCAAACCAAAAATCGTTCAAGTCCATGTTTTTAATTTCCGGCCCCAAAAAATCGTTTATAATGCCTCTGTAGCGCTAACTGTTTACCAACAAGAAACATGGGCTAATGATGCCACCTCTCCAAAATCCACACAACACTGCCACTATATGGGGATGTATTGGTTTCTCGGCGAGCTAGTGCGAGTTTTCCGATCCACAGATGCGGAAATTTTGCTTGTTAACAAAGCCACCGAGATGAAAATGCGCTTCGTCAGAATATGTGGTTTTTTGAGCAAAATCGTTGCCCGTTTCCTGCGAAAAGGTACCACTGTAGTAGACTGACTTGTTCGAACCAAGAATGATAGAATCACTGTTGCCATACTGGTGCTTTTGGAACTAGATTTAGCTCCTTATTTTTCTATTTAGCTCCGAAAATTGGGCTTTAGCTCCTAGCTCTCTTCAAAATTATCTAGCACTTTTATATATATATATAACTTTATATTAGAATTGAAGTCGGTTTCTTTTTTGCTAAAAATTACTGTAATATCTCCATATTCTCTATACTGTAGATAGCACAACTCCGAAACCGGTTTGTCTACAAACTAAATTTGATATGGGATGACACAAGTTCGTTAAACAATGCATCATACTCCTACCCTATCGGAAACACCAAAAACCAAAATGAAAGCATATACTTCTTCGACAAAATTATTCCCTTTCCATAAATGTAAATCGAAAACGCCTACCTCATGGTCGCTCTTCAGCTCCTACAGCTTCCGCTAAGCTAACCAACATTTCAGTATCGATTTTGTTGACTTTAAGGGGGAACTTGCCGAAGCTAGAATTAAGTTTTTGTCTGTATTCGCTAGAATGCCTAACCAATACTGAATTGTGGTTTTCTTGTTTACATTCGCATTGTGCTCTTAGACGAGCTTTTATCGATCTAGCTTTTTACAGCTCTACGGTACTACTATTTTGACAGGCAACTAACTTTTTTCTGCTCTGTGACTAGTCAGCGTCTGTACGTGAAGAGTGTAGACCGGGAGTGTCTCATTTCACTTGTAGTGCTACTTTATTGCTTTCGCCTATGACGACTACCGTTGCTAGATCCTAGAGAAAAGGTTAGACCTAGAGGTCGGTTGTGCAGTAGTTCTTATACTAGGCGAGCACTGTATTAAGGGTGCTAGGCATAGACAGAGGTCGCTCGGTGGGCTTTTATTTGTTCAAGTTCGTCATTCCCATATTCGTATTTTTTTCAGTACGAACACTTTTTTGAAGTAAATGCATGTTTTTGTTTTCTATCCGAAGGTAGGGTATCTCGAAAATAACTACAAGATATGGTAGAGTACATTATAAAATGGTGTATTTTATAAATGGTATATTGGTCACTTCAGAAAAGAATGCGAAAAAAACATCAAATCAAATAGGAAAAAATCCCCTTTAATAACTGGAAGTTCTTTTAAAATATTTCTTTTCTTTCTTTCGATAAAATTCATCTGCCATAAAATATTAAATATGCATTACTTAAAATAAAAACACGAAAGTATTATATTCATAAAAGTCAACTGAAATATTTTCATAACCAAATTAAGTAAAATTTATCCTCCGAGTGCATACTTATGCATTTAAAATAAATTTATCAATTTTTGAAAAACTAAATTCTGTGGAAAAGTGGAAGTCACTGAAAGCAGTCAGTTACTGCAAGGCTGAAAAAGCTGCTGTCACCGATCAAGCCTTACGTCCTACTAAGTATATATCGTTAGTATAGAATGGAAAGGGCGTAACTCACAATTTCGCTGAAATACAAAAAGCCGTATCTAACTAAAAATCCGAAATTCACAGTTTGATTAATTACGATCCATTTCATCAAATTATACATAAGTCCCCATATTGTTTTGTGCTATACAAAAATTTTAGTTAGTTATCGGGTTTTTGCATTTCAGCGACGATTTGAGAAACGCGCTTTCCATACTATACTAATGATATGTAGTTATTGCAATGAAATGTAAACGTTCGGTATGAAAAATTAAGACTTTGCTTGCTTTAAGTACATTTTCAATAAAATCAACCATAAATACTCGTAAAATTAACTTTTCAAATACGGTGCACAGCTGTTTAGTTTCAAAGTGAATTCATTGCAAATATGTAGTTTTAGATTTATCTTCGCCATAAGTATTTACTACCAGATACTGTTTAATAGTTAAAAATTTAATTAACTGAACCATTTTTATACACATAAATGCATTTTTTTTTAATTAACAGGCTTTTAAAGTTGTTTACATGTTTTGTTGTAAGGCAGTCGGGAGTTGCATTTCAGTAAACGGCGACTCATAACCTCTCTAAACTGGGATATAAAAGGAGCCGTGCCCCCTCCCGCTCCGCCCACCACGCACATAACGTAAAGGAAAGTTTCCCAAAGTCGTAACAAACATCGTCACCTGAAATGGAAAAAGTCGTGACTAATATATATATTTATTTTTCCATAAAACGATGTGGGGAGTGGTAATTCGATGAAATCCATCATATCAATCAAAAAGTAAATTTTGAATTTGTTATCAGTTACGACTTTTTGCATTTCGGCAACGATATTTATTACATCGTTTTGTATTTCAGGTGACGATAGTTACATAGAGGTATTAATATAAAAAAAATAAAAAATATAAAATTTATTATTTTTATGATTAATCCTTATAGTCTTCTGTAAAGATATAACGGGGTTAAAAAATAAAATTGACTAATTTGTTGACTCCGAATGTTTGCTGGGTTTGTACTTTTCTATACAAATATGAAGTTCTGGCTACATTGTGTACTATAGAGTTACATAAGTACGTAGAAATTACCGCTACTTCTTCTTGTATGCTTTGTAAAAATTTCATAGATGCATCGATTACCAGTAGGCCACTAGAAGAAAATATGTATTCATTTTTGGAGTATATCGACACCTAAGTGGGATTGACTTATCTCGGCAGCCAATTCGAAAATGGCCTATCTCAGAAAACCTCTCAAGAATGCCCTATTTCAGAATTTTATTGATAAACTCCCTTTCTCAGAACTTGGTTGAAGGATGCCCAACCTCAGAAGTCGGTTCAAAAACGCCCTATATCGGCACATCATCAATATATTTTCAGTCCAGATAGGGCGGTATCCACAACGGTGTCATAAGTGTCGTATTGTTGTATGTCGTAAACTTCAAACGCCTTAAAATATATTAAATGGGGATTCGCAAAGTACCATCAAAGTCAGATTATGCATTTTCGCAGTGTTAAAAAAATAAGTGGTTCTGGTTTCAAGTTCCCTAAACATTTATTTAAGCTTTTAAAATTTACGACATACAACAATACGACACTTACGCCGCCGTTTGGAATCCATCAAATGCGTTCCGTAATCTAAAAAGTAAGCGGTTGGTATCAATTTCTCGACGATTTTACTTATTACTTGTAAGCAGTGTTGCCACACATGGGCTTTTCCTACCCAAACTGGTAGGTTTTTTTTCCATTTGGTAGGTTGGTAGGCAAGAATGGATTTTGGTAGGTTTCGTGACAATGAGTAATAGTTTTTTGCGAAAAATAGAAAATATTTATCTACAAACATTTTAGCAACCTTGCTTACACAAATGTGGACTCTTGAACCACGTGAGAGCCCACAATAGCCTAACGAAAGGGCTGACTGTCTCGCAAAGTGTGGACATCTAAAGGATACACTGCCGAACTACTTAAGAGCTGGGAAGAATCTCAGATTGCTGCCCACTGGCGGAAGGCAAAGATAATAAAACAGGCAAATATATGCATAACTCCTCCCAGGAGGAACTCCGACAGACTCCTTAAGCTTAGAACTCTTACTGGCTACTTCGACAGTACACTGCAAGCTAAGGTGGCATTTGAATCAAATGGGGGCTTTCTGTAGAGGCGGAATGTAGGTTTTGTGGGCTGGTGGAGGCAACTCCAGTGAATTTTATGTGCCTGCCCAGGAAATAGGAATCGTGATTGGTACTCCTTGGAGAACGATTGTTTTTCCATCTAAAATTTGGCACCGTTCAAATTGCTTTGATTTTTCAATAGCCTTAAGTCGGAGTGATTTCAATTAGGGTTTAGCACAATAGATCTTCTTAGGTCGCTTACGTCTGTACAGTAAAATGAATTGTTAACGCAGTTAATTTGTATTTATTGTACTTGCTGTGTTTTAGTTTTACAAAATGTTAAGTTATCTACATTTTTTAATAAACTTGACATTGAAAAAAATATGAAAAACTTTGGTAAGTTTTGGTTGATTTTGGTAGGAAAAGAAATGTGTCTGTGGCAACACTGTATGTAAGAGCAGTTTTTGCTGGGTACCTTTGAACATTGTTGGTTTGTATGTGTATAGTGGCACTTACACATGTACACACACATACATACATATATGTAATGGGGGAAACGTTGCAGTACCACTTAATAAAACATTCAACTCTTCAAGGAACTGCAGCCGCCACAACAACAGCAACACTATTTTGGCGCCGAGCGAAAGGGTGCTCCAGCTGCTTGCCTCCGTTTCAGCTGCAAACGTACATACATACATACATACATTCGCCAATTAACATTTCTGTAAATGTAGTAACTATCAGTATGCAGTGCGGGCGGGTTGTAGCTGTGAGCCAAAGTGTTGACGTCGCACGCGTATTTAACCCAGGTACACACGCACAGATTCAGGTGCATGGTGCAGCGCCATCCTTGCATGTACATATGTAGTTGTGATAATAACCTCTCACCTCTTAGACGCTTTGGTGCGCTACTTGGGGCGAATTGTTTTTACTTTTGTGCATATAATTTGAAAAAGTGGTGGCGTAATTGCGATTTAATTACCGCAAAAAAGGTAAATCATCTCATTTAAACAGCGCCGCGTATGCAGCGTGAGCGTGTGTTTCGAGTGCGTACGCCTTATGCCAAGCGATTACCGCAATTACACAATTTTGAGCAGAGCACAAAAAAAAAAACACAAACAACTGCAACAACGACAACAACTCTACCAAACAAAATACAGCTTAATATGCAACTAACTACTTACCATAAGCGCAGTAACTAATGTAGATAAGTATGTAGATACATACATATATGGAAAATGTAGTTTCATTCATTCATTCATACAGTTCCGTTATACCTACTTACATACACACCTACAATGTAATAAATACATTTTAGTTGGGTTTATTCTTTTTCGTTTTTTTTTTTTAAATATATCTCTGTGTTGCTCACTTCCGGCAACAATTTCCACAGCAAAGTGGCAAAAGTTTTGCATTAAATGCAAAAATATTGTGAAACATTTTGCAACAATGCGCCCTATGCCGGGGAAGAGGTGAAAGAGAGAGCGTGCGGGGTATGCTTTTGAGCTGAACTTAACAGTGTTGATAGTGGCACCAACAATGGTGGTGGCCAACGATTTGGGTTGTGAAAGTGTTCTGATTTTTGCTTTTGTTTTTTGTTTTGTTGGTGTTTAGGGTTTATGTTTGCTTCTGTGTTGCTCAGGAGCGGTTTGTTGGGCAAAAGTGGCAATAGTTGTCGCGGTTTAGTCAAACAGCAGTTGGTTTTCATTTGACAGTACATTCACCATTATCAACGCTTGTAACTTTTGAAAGCGAATACATATTTCACTACCGATGACTGGTATTTATGCAAATATATAGATTTGGTTGCATGTAGATACATATGTATGTATGTAAATTTGCAGATTAAGGTTGTCGCTATATGCATACGGAATTTTTGATATTGTTCGGGACACCCTATAGAAATTTTTCGTGGCTTAAAAACCAACTTCATTTGAAGCCAAGCATCTTAAACTGCACTCATGACTTATAAAGTTTAATTCAAAAAGAAAAAGTCTATTACACTGCATCTTTGGGAATCGTACTGCTACACACTCATAGAGACCTATAAGGATTCCGCTTGACTAAGTGAGATACAGGCCAAAGAACACACTTTGTGTGAAAAGGTCGGCGCAGATAGACAGAAACCGCTGAGGAATAAATAGAAACCCGAAAAAACATACGTTATTTATACAAGGGAATCGATTAATAATAATACTATTTTGGGGATTACACTTTGCTAAGTGTTTGCTCAAGTTGTAGAGGGTCGACCGCAGGTAAAAAACCACTTATACTTATTTAGTTTTTTCCCGGACCAGGGAACGCACCGCAGCGCTCTGAAAGCTAGAAATGCTCTCAAATATTTATTAAACTTTCAAGGTTAATGACATACAATAAGGCTAGGACCGAAAGTGTCGACATTAAAGTTCGTTTAACTGAGATTGCCCTTTAAGTCATAGGATTGGAACATCGCCCAAATACAAACAGTTCACTGGTTTTGAACGTATGTATATAGACCAATATTTTAATAATATATAAGTTGAGACAACCGTTTAAATCCTGAAGCATTCCCGTAAGCCCACTAAGCTAAATCGAAAGAATAAGTTAATAAAAAACAGTATCCAAAATCTCATTATTCGATTCCGTTCAAATTTTTTTTTAAATATTTTTATGTATATTTTTTAAGCTTAAACCGTTTTGTCATTTAAAGGGATTTTTTCAAAAATCATTCGTTAAGAAACTATTTTTATTCATAAAAAACTATATTTTTAAATCGGTCCAGCTCGCTTAAATCTTAATATTTTTCCGAAAAATTTTGGTGGTCATCTTGGAACGTGGACGTTTTGGAAGTGAGCCATACTTTGGCTTTTTTATTGCTTTACTTATATAATACGCTATGGTGCAATGCATCTCGTATAATAATTAAAAATTTTCGTTGCTTTCCAAACTTATGTATTTACATTTTCGATTTCTATACAATCATACGCTTTTATGCACATAACTTTCCCCAGCACTGTTGAAAATCTCTCCTACATTAGAAACTATAACCGCATGCTGCTTGTTGCGAATTCGTACAAACTTTATCAGATCAGCCAAACAGAAGTTGCGATTGGGAAACGGCAACAAAACCATACATGTACAACAAAGAAGAAACTAGCGGTAAACTTACTAAAAGCGAAGAGCAACAAATTTACAACAATCATAGAAAAGCGGAAGTTCGAGAGAATATTTTCGCATGTGTGTGTGCGTGTGAGTTGAAGTTTCGAAAACACTCGCGCTCCACAATGTTTGTTGCCACTAAGTTTGGTAAATTTAATGCAAAATGTTCATAATTAGTTGTACCCACAGGATGAACTAACGCAGAGTAGGGCAGCAAGTTATAGGAATCGTAGGCAAGCCACGATATGTTAATGTGTGTACCTACATACGTATGTACATATTTTTGCCACTTGCCGTTAAGTTGAGTTCGAAGGCAGATTGTTTTGTTGTTTGAAGCAATAAATTTCAAGGTATCAGGAACCAAAGAAAAAACGAAGGAAAGACAAGTAATTTTTAAGCAAAAATTCAACCGAATTCAGTTGTGGGATACAAAATTTAGGTTAGTCCTAGATCAGCTTCCTTAATAAATTGTAATGGTATTTTGGTAGAGGAAATTTCTATACTACGTAGCTTTGGTGGGGGCAACATTGTGTGATTGACACAGCATATGCCCCGTCGCCTACTTTTCTTTATTAAAAATGCCACATTGCGTCTCGGCAATCAAGCCAATTTGGTGTATCTGAGAGCAGTTGGATAACCTGATGAGTGGCTTCATTGAAAAAATTGATGTAATTTCTAGCTAAAGGGTAGCCAAAGAGAATGGGTTGTCTTAGACCTCTACCATCTCTCAGTACTCACCACGTTCAGAGTTAACGCACGCACTGGCTAATTGTTTTGAAGAAGACCAAGTTGGCAAAATGGTTCGGGCCTCAGAAAGGCATACGATGCGCCCTGCCTCATCGGTTCGTCGACGACCTCGTTTTCTTCGATACCCCAGTGACAGTTTTACCGTATTTTTCCCTGCCAAGAGTTGAAGAATGTCAAACGACTCTTTGATGAGCTAAGAGGGCATCATCCTATTGAATACGTGATCTCATGATTGTGCGAAAATATAACTAATATGGCACAAATCCTGATTCAAGGCACCTCATGTGATTGACTGTGGATCATCGGCTCATTACAATAGAAATTCTGTTTCCCTTTCTTGATTAAAGCAGTGCATCCATTTGTCTACACCTCTGGGTCGGGGATTTCGACGAAGAATTTCACGCTAAAACAAATTTAACTTGGAATCGGCTCTGAAACCCTAGTTCTTCAACGAAAACATCGTGGTGGTGTCGACATAACTTCCACACACATACTAACTTCTACGGAACTGTGACATAAGTCCTATGTTATGTGGAGAAATTACTGCCAATAGTAATAGCGATTTGATCGCTTCGCCCGCTCACTGGATGGCCTCCCCCTCCCTGGTGATACAATTTTTGTGAAAGCTATGTCATTTAAGTTTTCTCTGATTTACTTGGAAACTATGTCGGAAATTCATAACTTCCGCGGGCCCAAGTTATGTCAATTACATAATATCTACATGTAATTGAACCCAATATGCCTCTTATACTGTCTTCTAAACGGCCCAGGAACACCCTTTGCATCTGAGAGAGAAACCATAATTACCTGCTTGTCGGAATAATAAACGGCATAATGACCCCAGTACAGTAGTCTGGTTAAGAGGTTTTCAATGACGAGAGCCCAAAATGAAAGAGAAACATCACCTCTCCGTAGCCGTAGGCGTTGTAATACCGCGCTCACCAACTGCGGTCCTATCTACTCCACAGTAGAGGGTTCTACTCATCTTTGGACAAATGTCTTCAAAATGCATCCTAAGGCAGTATTTTCAAAAACGCTTTCGTTATGCAAGAACCCACATAGCGCAATCTCCTTTGATTCGAAGGCCAATTCGATCTTACCAACCAAATGCTGTAGGACAGAATCCGTCGATCTCCATTTGACGTGAATAATGAAGAAAGTACTCTTCAAAAACCAGAAAAACTTCATATTTAAAATATTGTTTGCAATTGTTTACTTCGGTTAAAGTTATGAGTAGGAGTGAATTCGAGGAAATATTTTTTACAATGGTCAGCTGAGTGTACAATTTTAAATTGAATTGATTCTGCATGACATACATACATTATTAGTAAGCAAAAAATTCAAATTCGCTAATATCGTCGTTATGATACAAAAACTATTTGATTAACAAATTGATTTATTTTTATAATTGGCACGAATGACTGAACTTACTCATTGTATATGTATGTATGTATGTATATATTTGTTTGTACCCATGTAAGTTTGTTGACAACAATGCATAAAAAGATGTACGAAACTCAATTGTTCTGAGAGCTGTTACTCATTATTAGGGATGGCAACGATTAGTCATATGACTAAATTAATTGATTATTTTTGCCCATTTTACGATTTAATTGTATCGTAGTTTTGTGTTCCATTAATCGATCATTAGTCGATTTATTATAAAATAATCGCAAAAATATTTTCAAGAGTTCTGTAGTAGTTGTCTAAAATCCATGCATCGAACATTCTTTTTTTGCCAGCTGCATCAAGTTTACTCGACCTGAGGTTCACAAAAATTCATTTCAAAGAGCTGTTAGCATTGGCATCAGTAATGAAGTTCTTGCGAAATGAAATAATTTGTGCAGATGATCTTATGGAAACGAGTAGCGAGTCCTCACTAGAGTCAGCAAGAAATGAGTTCGATCTTCGGACCCCTCTAAATCTCTGCAAGACTTGAGTTCAAGCCTAACATCAAAAAATGAAAAAAAAACCTAACGTTTTTTCTAATAGGCGTCGCTCCTCGGTAGAAAATGGCAAACGTCCGAGTGTATTTCTGCCACGAGAAACCGCTTCCAATAACAATATATAATCGCCGTCCGGAGTTGGCGTAAAAGCTTATTATAAATTCGACAAGTTTGGATCCCTGATCATCCCTTGCTCTCCGATTCCGGAAAAATCTATCTTTTTTTCGGCAGGAAAAAAAAAACCAAAAGAACGAATATAATTTTTTGTGTCATGAGAGAAAATTTTACAGAGAGACATCCTGAAAGTATGCAACAAATATAAAATGTGATCACTTGCACTCATACACATACATATAAGACCACCGTCAAGAGAATTATATTCAAGAATGAATGGAAATAGAAATTATATATATGAAGAATGACAACCGCAATTAAATTAAAAGTAAGCGTACATAATTCATAACCACAAATATATGTAACTGTGTGAGTAGATAAAATTTGAACTACAGTTCAATTAAACAAAATGCAACGAAGCTTTTAAGTTTGTGAAATTTAAAATAGAAAATCTGATTATTTAGTTAATACTTTCGCAACCTACATACAAACATACATATGTGTGCTAGATCAACTGACTGGAAAGAAGCACTAGAGCAACTAGGAGAGGCTGGACAGGTGCGAATAAAAAATTTATATTTTGTAGGACGATTGAAGTACTTTAATATTTTTAGTTAATTTTTACATTCGTATGGCAACCCTTGTTTCGTTCATTTATGCGGTATCTAATTGGGGAAAAATCGATAATTACTACGAAACAGCTTCTGTATCTGTTCGTAAGCTCGCTTTCACATTTACATATGTACATATGTACATTTCTATGGTTTTATGTATGTGTGTACGTATGTTTGTATGTTCGTACGCATGTCTACTGTTAAATTATTCAGCTGATATGCTTTGGCAAACTCTCAAGAAAACGGTCAAGAAAAAATTGCCATTATTTCGCGTGTGTGTCCAAGGAATTTTGACATTTTTGATACCGCACAGCCTGCTGCCTCACTCTTTCCTCAAGAAATAATGGAACGGGCATATATATTTCTGTTGCAAACTTTAGAAAACCGTAGTAGAAAGCGTAGTAAATTTCTTAAGAACTGCGTACTGCCTTAAGGAAATTTGACTCAAGAAAATTTCTTAGCCATTTCTTGTACGTCATTTTATATGGAGTTTTTGCTTTTCTTGAGAGCTGCATACAGGCCTTAACACTCGAATTGTGTTGTGTCGAAAACTCTCGCTACATACTTACTTGTCCTTTTTACCATTTGAGTGTATTTGCAAGGCATATATGTATATATGTAGATGTATATGCATTAGTATTGTTGTTTAATGAATACCGCAGTTTTTAAAATCTTATTACTTTATCTTTTTAATAGTCGCTTTTATTGTTTTAACTTTCACTTTTATTGCGCAAATGTAGTTTCGGTTATCGTTTACTTGCCGACGACAATTCGCGACTGTTGGACACATACATATGTATGTATGTACATAGGTATGTAGATCACCCACTGACCTGACCTTGAAAACAGTTGAATGGTTGCCAGCGGTTTGAAATTAAATACAATGCCTTTTAAAAAAATTGCCGTATATAACATACATATATCTCCAACTACTAGTTGATTCGAATTAAAGTGTAGGTATTTATGTAAATGCAAAACAAAAAAGTTTTTGACGTAATGAAAATTATTTCTAAAAAGGATGCTAGACGAAAAAAGGATAACATTTTTCAAATTAAAGACCTCACTCCTTCTTTTATTGTTGTATATTAGGTAAAATTATTTTACAAACTATTTAGGTGATAGACATTCAGATAAATCCATCAAAAAGGTAAACGTTGTGGAGGTTTAAACTCAAAACGTGACCCAGTTTACCATCTTTATGTTAAGAGAATTTAAAGGAAACCCCGACAGAAAATTCTTGGTATAACATTTATGAAACTTAGAACAAGTTTAGTTGCTTTAGAAGCGGGAAAAGTAGTAGTTATTATTATTTTTTTTAATTTTTCAATTACGGAAAAGGTTTGAAGTAGGAAAAATGTTAGCCATTCTCAACTATCGATAAGTATTATCTATATTTTTTTACGCTTCGCCAAATGCTTCGTGAGGAACCTCTCTCTCCGCACGAAAGCATTTGTATTGGCTATGAATTAACTCTCAGTCACAGTTATCTTAAGAACTCAACGCGATCTAGAACAAATTGTATGATTTTCGGAAAAAGGACAGCATTTTTCTTTAGAAAAGATATATTTTGTGTCTGCTAGTAAAGGTATGTCAAACTTTGAGGAAGGAAGGTATGCATCTGAAAATCCTCAGCAAATGTCGCTCACGGTATAAAGACGAGCCACGACGCGCCGTAAACCAAGCAGAGTTGATAGAATACCAGCTGTTTCGGTCTGATTAATTTCTGTCCGAAGTTTGGTATCTTAGTAGTAAAGGGGAAAAACTGTTTTCCGAAATTCCCGATAAAACACCCAACTCGTAAGAATTCAGAAAATCTTCATTGAAAATGTTACATGATATAAGCACTTTTTTTTGGGGTTAAAAACGGACGAAAAGCAAAAGAGAATAACCAGAAGATGTTTCTGATGTTTCAGTATGACGATGGTAGAATATTCGAGAAAAAGATATACCAGTATATTATTTAAAATTAGTTTGAAGGCCTTTTATATTTTATTTAGTGACTTGCGGTACAAATCTGAAAAGCATCGCGATGGGCGGGTTCTGGACCTAAATATTGAAAGTAGGGATGGGCGGCCAGCCAAAAGTGGGCAACCGCAGCAAGGAACCGCACATATTGGAAGTACCAAGGACCTGTAAGCTTTATTTCTTTTTGAATTTACCATCAAATAAGTGAACCATTGTTAAAAAACGTATCTGTACTACTAAAACACAAAAATAGATTTATTTAGAACCACTCTCCTCTAGCTTTTTAATTAATCCAAGTGGGTTTCTTACGCCATTTACAGGCATTCGTTTTCGTTTGATTTGGAGACTAAATATATTTCGTTTGTAGATGTCGTTGTTTCCAAAAGAGTGGGTGTATGGTTTGGAAATAAACCGGTGGCACTACGCCAAAGCAGGTTTGTCTCCAAACCAAATTGGAAGATGGAAATTTTTTCCAAAATTCATTACGAAATATATTCTCTATTGGATAGAGCCGCAGCGTATTTATTCGTCATACACATTGTTGTTTATTTGATTCTGGCTCATGGGATTTTACTTACCAAGGAATGGCCTCAGAAATGTTCAAAATCAGTCTGGGTGAGTTGACTGCCATTCTCTGCAAATAACTTACCATACACAATGAAACGCTAGTTATGCGTATTTTAACATGTATAGATTTCAATTTATTTTCAATTTATGTGTTTTCATTTTTTATTAATTATATGTATGTAGGTATATTTAAAGTTTTAGTTATTAGTGAGAATAAATTTTTATAACATATTTTGTCTTAGTTTTTTTTTTTTTTTTTTGTATGTTTTTGTTTTCTTTTCCAACAATTTACTTGTATGTACATATGTGCGTTGAATTTAAAATTTTACTACGTTTAAACACACACATACATACATCAATACTTGATTTACCTACCATTTAAGTACCTATACCTAAAATATATGTACATATATATTGTTTAATTTAATTAAATATTTTTAAGATTTCATATGCGATATTTGTTTTAGTAATTCGTACTTTTAGAAAATTATTATTTATGTACTCATAGTTGGAATACAAATACATATGCGCATAGTATATATTTTGTTTTTTTTTTGATATCCTATAGCTTAATGTTATAACATATTTATTGTCCATGGCATGTGGACACGCTTAGTTACTTAAGACTGCGCTCAATTTTCAAAAGAAAATACTTATAATATATACATTTTTGTTGCAATTTTTGGGATTTTATAAATTTTTTGTAGGTAAACGCCGCGGCTTACGCTTGAAACACAACGTGATTAAGAAACTGATTTACTTAACTTACTTACACAATTTATTTAAGTTCTTTACATATTTATTTATGTGATTCAATGGTTTTTGTGTTTGTTTTTTTTTTTTTTTTGTTTGCTTATGAACAATGATATTTTTCACTTACTACATTTATGTTTATGTGCATGATTTCGCTCGCTTTTCTTCCTTATCTACACATGTAGGTATTTTCTCGTATTGTTTAAACTTTTTTGATTGTGTATTAGTTTTTTTCAACGCTTGTGTATACATGTAACTTTCTTCATTCTTGCTGTTTATTTATAGAACCTATTTGATTATTGTTTGTGTATGTGCATTTCCGCTTTTTTTTTTTTTAGCTGAAAATGAAATTCTATTTCGACCATTTACAATTCCATTTAATTCAACACTAGCAATTAAAGTGAAAAATGATTTTTTCCCTGCTGTAAGTTTTCAATTAAATAAAAAAAAAAATCACTTGAATATTTTATTTTATTTGCAATAAATGGAGTCATTTTACAGCTGGCCACTTAAGCTTTTAAAGTAAGCCATTTGGTTGGCCCCTGGAGATTGGAGATAAATTTAATAAGTAGAGCTAAAAGAGTAAATTTTCGCCATATTCAATGTAGCACTTAACTTCCGTAACGGAAGAATGCATGTCAAGTTTACGAAATATCGCATAAAATTTCCGTCGACGATGTCCGAAGCCAAAATTGCCTCAAGAATTCTCTAGACGCCGAATTCAATATCAAAGTTGCTAAGAGAAAGAGCAAAATCGTTTTTTTAAACACTGCACTTCACAGAGGCTTTTTAGCAATAAACAAAAACCTTGAAAAAATCAAACCATAACTTGGTTTGAAAAACCATTGTGCTTTTGGCTCAGTGTACATTTGAGGACTCTTCNGTTTTTTTAAACACTGCACTTCACAGAGGCTTTTTAGCAATAAACAAAAAAAAAAACAAAAAATAAAAATTATGCATCGCGCTGACGGCATTCGAACTGCACATTTCTTACAATCGGCTTGTTAACCTTGAAAAAATCAAACCATAACTTGGTTTGAAAAACCATTGTGCTTTTGGCTCAGTGTACATTTGAGGACTCTTCGCGATAACCAAATGAAAATGTTCCCCGAATACTTCAAATTTCAGCTAATAGTTCAATGTTGACACCCGTTTGGGATCGGAGTATTTCCTTCCGAGTAATGGTGGACAAGTCGCATTTTTTTTGGTATGGTGTTGACTCTAGTTCCGCTACATACATACATATGNTCTTCGCGATAACCAAATGAAAATGTTCCCCGAATACTTCAAATTTCAGCTAATGGTTCAATGTTGACACCCGTTTGGGATCGGAGTATTTCCTTCCGAGTAATGGTGGACAAGTCGCATTTTTTGCATGGTGTTGACTCTAGTTCCGCTACATACATACATATGTTGTATTGACTGTATCTGATTAAGTAAAAATTTTTCCGCTGACACAAAAGCTTCCATTCTCATTGTGTTTGGCGTTCATATGTATGTATGTACGTGTTTAAGTAAATACTTATGTATTTTCATCTTAACGTTAAACTTTTATATTTATTTATAGTTGTTTTTAGGATTTTTGTTGTTTGCCACTCAAGGCGCGGTGTTTTCCAACTCATCTACTTATTCATTCCTAAGTCGTTAAGGTTTTATTTACAACTTTACTTAGTTGTCCTGGCGAAAATGCTAATAGTTCATTTTATATAAATTCACAGTATTTACTTACTCCTAGTCACCTTAGTTGTCTAAGGCATAAATCTAAAAAAATCAATTCTTTGGTGGCTTCATTTTAGCTTACGCTTAATGTACAAATTTAGAGAGCGTATAATCATCTCGTCGCTTGCTGCCGTCTAATTCAGCATCATACATACATATATAACCTAAATATTTCTAGTTAATTGTATTGTTATTTAATTTTTACTTTAACTACTGATTGATGCACTAGATTTGCTGGCGCAAAACATTTTCGCAGAGACTTTTTTGTTGTATGTAGTTCAATTCTCTTTGGTATAAATACTCCGCTTTTAACAATTCACATATTTGCGCTTTTGTAGACTGTAACTATAATTAAATTTACTATATTTATTTATTACTTGAAAGAAGTCAAGGAAGAAGTGCTTATACCTACGCCTAAAGATTATTTTTTTTTTTTTTTGGAATTTAACTATTTTTTTAACTAATAGAAACTATTTTCTGATGTTAAAGTTATTTGATGTTTTCATTTTATTAGAAGACATTTTCTATTTTTCATTTTTTAACATTTGTTGCATAGTGTTATCTACTTACAAAAAAAATTTGTAACATTTAGAATTTTGATTTCATTTGTTTGCTTAATACTTGACTTACATTGTAAACCGTTTATTTGCAATCTGTTGCAACAGCTAAATGTTTATTTTTAATTTTTTTTTGGTTTTACTTTTGTTCATTTTTGTATGCGTTTTTGTTATTAAAATAGATACAATATCCACCACAAATTTAGTTTTATGTTGGCTCTTTATTTTTTGGTTTTTGGTTTTTGTGTTTTTCCTTTCTTTTTGCTGTCATTTAGTATTTGTCAATTTTGTAGTGTTTGATTTGTTTTTATGCTTGTACCAGTACCACTAGATACAAAGTGCAGCAACTACAAAATCAAGAAATCCATTTTGTTTATTGCTTTGTGGGTGACATTTAGTGATTGGCGGTTTTTTTTTATGGTGAAAACAAGACGATAAGGGGGCTCAGATTTATCGTGTTGACCACCTTTCAAAAACGGCAAAATATTTCAATGCTTATTGTTCCGTAGTGATTTAGTAAACATTTATGTACATATCTATTTAGTATATGTATGTATGCATTTTCTATTGTTAGTTTTATTTCACACAATTTTATGTATCTTTGGAAACCGTTTGTATATAAATATGTGCATCGCTGAACTAGTTTTTTTGTTTTTTCTTTTTTACATTTACGAAAATTCAATAACGTTTCTATGAAAGCTTTGCCTAAATAAATCCGATTAAGTCATAAACAAGAAATTTAGTAACTCACATACACACACACACACACACACACACATATGTAAGTATTTGCATGTTTTTCGAGAAACTCATAGCACCATTAAACATTCGTTGTACATTGGGCAAGTTTGTGCTTTACGAGAGACAACAAAGTAATTCAAAATGACAAATAAATTTACTTAAATTAAAGGAAAATTCGTTGGTATGCTAAAAAAAACTTGCAACTATTGGCTTTGATTTTGACTAACCGAATTAAGTCACTCACTTTGTAGAGCGAGCAAATTCTAAATTTCGTTAGAAGTAAACATTTTTTGAGAGCTTTCACTTGCACGGAAGTAGCTTTCACAATACAAGCTTGCGAAAGAAGAAAATCAAGCTTTCGACCTATAAAGCTTTCATGCTTTACGCAAAAAAAAAAAACGTTTTGGGATAGAAAACCATTTTAATCTAAGCCTTGAAAACGAAAACTTGCCAAAAGATGGCTGAGTAATTAAAGACTGAAAAAAGTATCCACTAATGCCAAGACGCAAATTAATTTTATAAGAATTGCTCTTTTTAGTTTTTGGCTAGAATCTTTTGTCACTATGATTTTGAAGCCATAAGCTTGAGCACATCTACTGATTAATGGCGGTTTAAACCATTCAGAGAGAGGCGATAATCCGAAATATTATGCATTAATGTTTGGTCACGTGTATTTAGCTGTGCAACTGCAAGGTCCGAATACTTTCAGAGAAAGTGTTCAAATGTCTCCTCCGAGGATGGGCAGAACCTGCTGCTGCAAGTTATGCTGATATTTTCGGTGTACACTCCCGGCTACCATTATCCAGTGCAAATATATTCTCTTAAATAGGTTTTTTTTTGCTCATGCCTAAAATTGGTTTCAGGTGGGTCATAGGTAGCCCGGCTATACCCTAAGCTTTTTCTAGCAGCGCGCTGCAGCGATCGTCCCCCGGCGGGCAATAGAAAGCCTCCGGGGGTTCCTACCTTAAAAAAGCTTCTCATAAATACCATTTGCCGTTCGGAGACGGCGTAAAGTTTAAAGCTCGTCGGCGATTTCAAGCATCCGTTGATGGTTACCCCAGCAACGAGTACATGTGTGAGTGTCGGGTTAAATGTCGGGTGCTTGAAGCTTGCCCGGCGACACTCAAGCATAAAGCGTCAACACCATTATAAGTTTCAATAAACCGCAACGTAAAATCTTTATCTTCCGCGAACTTGCTCATTTTACATATCACAACAAACTAACACACTAATGCTTGTCAACGCTTTGCGCCACTATCAAACAGACCGCTTGTCAAGCGGTCGCGTTGACGGAAAATCAAAAATTTTTGATTTTCCATCAACGCGAGCCGACAACAAGTACGTGTGACACGACGATCTCCGATTGCCTCGGTTGCTGGGGTAACCATCAACGGATGCTTGAAATCGCCGACGAGCTTTAGCTTTCTCCATTTGTGTTATAACAACAGGACGCATACCGCAAATTGGAAGAGAGGCTCGGCCAAACATTTAGCAAAACTGTAAACGCCATTATTCTTACATTTTTACATTTTTAATGTAGTTTAAAAATTATCAGAGGGCGGCCTTCGCTCACAGTATTTCAGCGGTTGACACATAACTTGGGAACTGGAAGGTGCCTGAATTGCCACTGGCTATCGAAAAAAATGCTCTGGATTCGTCTTTACAGTCAGCCGTGGGTTCCTCTCCACAAAATTATTCGCAGCGGCTTGAGAATTATTCGGGAAATTTATGATTGATCCAGATCTTTTCTTTGATATAGTTGCACAACAGTGTTTTTATATCAAATGGGCCACTACATAACATAAAATATACAGATAAAATATACATAACATCCCAGGTATTTCTGCTTTATTTTATTTTTTTTTGTAGCACTGTGTTATTTTTGAAATTATTAAAACATAAAAAAAAAGAAAATATTTTAGTATAGAGGCCCATTTCAATTGCGTTTATTCTACACAAGTCGATTTCAAAGTTTAGAAAACACACACCAAAAGTAAGTACCTATTTGCTAAATTGTTTACTCTTATACAATATGCAAATTTTTTGTCTTAATTTCGATAAGAATAATTTTAGTCTAAATTAGAGTACAAAGTTTAGTTGATCAGTTTTCGAAACCATTACTTCACAAAATTTACAAAATTTTACAACGTTATTTACAAATTTATGTGCCTATATATACAAGCAATATAAGTTTATTCTCTTTATATTACTGTTTATGCATGTTTTAGTAGTCATATGCTCTAAATATGTGCCAACAAAGTTGAGGGTATTCACAAAATATGTCAACTGGTTTAACATTTACATAAATTTTGATTGCATGTGTTGCATACATATAGCGTTCAGTTTTTTCACTTATATTCTGGCTTAGCAATTAGAGTGATTAGCAACAAAAAAAACATCCATTGCATTTTGCGGCTGAAAATTTACACCGCTCTGTGAACACCCATATACTACAATCAATTTACTAAAGTTTCTACTACAATTCTACAAGTATTTACATTTATTTATGTTTATTTGTGATTTTGATATTTTGCAGCATTTTTTTCCAGTATCTCATTACGTACATACATTTGTACATATTTACATAGGAAGATATTTGAAAGATTACATAGGAGGCATAGGAGGCTTGTCACAAAGAAAGTAACAGTAAAGTGGAAGTTAAAAAAATTTGTTTGCAGTAGTCAGAAAGTAGCACCAAAAAACCGTAAATATTTGAGATGCTCGAACATTTTTTGAAAAATACGTGGTTAATCGAAATTAACCGTCCTATTCCCATGCAAAGAAAACAACTCATTTCAATGACTATTGTCATATCTTTTCCTATAGCATTAATCTACAAAAGATTCAAAGGTTGAGGAAACTAATTTTGGAAAAATTACTTAAGTATTTACAATGCATTAATGTACATTTGAACGCGTTAATCGTACTTTAGTGTGTTTTGGAAACTTAACTTAAGCCTCATAGTTCAAACAGCAAACGTGTAATCATAGTGGAAGACATCCGCTTAAAATTAGATTATCTAAAACTACAGTGTTTAGTCAGGTTTTGAACCAAAGAAAAACAAAACACTAACATTAGTGAATATATATTTACATTACCCTGCAGCAAATCAAACTGGCTCGGAACTCGCGCCGAACTAGTTTGGAAAGAGACAGTACTGGTTCTTCATATACATATCGCAAATTCATGGCGATGTCCTACAAAGTCTCGATTGCCCCCTCTGTAGAAATTTTGAACTCGATCAGAACTGGTTCTATTTTGGACACGATTTGAGACAATACATATTTTATGAGAAAAAATTTTCAAGTATTTTTTTATTCTTACTTTATTTTTACTGAAATTCCATAATTTTTTCTTCAACAGCTTAAATTTATTAAATCTGAATCACCGCGATTTGATCTCGTAACAACGATGTTACGAGTCGGTGCTGTTTTCGTGTTGTACGAGAAGTGAGAATTTCGACATTCACTTCGCAGCTTTCATATGTAAAGGAGAACTTTCACCACATGCAACTGGCACACCGAGAGTTTCAACTGTCCCGCTCTGCAACAATATTGTAGTAGCTGAAATTTGTAGGACTAAAACTAGCGCTTTGTCAGACTGTCTCTAATTTTGATGCAGGGTATTTCGGTTTGATTTGTCTCTATTTTGCATTTCGACAACTACAATACGTATGTACGTATGTATAAATGTACACCTAAGTTTTTGATTTCATTTAACATTTTTTAAATATTTTTTGTAAAACGTCGAACAGCAAAAGTGAAATTAGGCGCTGTGAACGCTTTTCTGTCGCGTTTGTGTTTAAAGTTTTCATTTATGTATTTAATTAATTTTTGTTTTTTTTTTTTTGATTTTGCCCTTTTTATAGCTAATAATTATAAAAAATAAGACTAAAAATATGTACCATAATAACTATAAGCAAAGTGTATGTCAATTTATATATAGTCAGCTGGATACCCTGACGTATTTGCCATACCAAAAAAATATACTTTATTCAACAGCAAAAACCACGAGAGTACATTTTTTTTTATTTCATATAGGACTCGAAAAATTCCAAAAATACCAAAAAATGTGCATAAAAATTTTTAAATTTTTAATCCTATTTTGTAGCTTATTAAATTTTAATACAATAAAGTGCAAGTTTACAGTCGCCAAAAGTTGCCGTTGATTTTTGAGATTCTTTTCGTCGTGGGTGTTACGCATTTTCTTATATATAAAAATAAATTTTGTTTTCCGTTATATGCAAGAAAATGCGCCTCGACAAAAAAAACAAAATTCTCAAAAATCAACAGTAATTTTTAACGACTTCAAAGTTGCACTTTATAAAATTGCATATTCAAAATAAGAAAGAAGTTGAAAAATTTTTATGTATTTTTTAAATTTTCTCGAGTTTTGTATAAAATGATTAAACTTGATTGTTGTGGTTTGGTTTTTGCTGTTGAATGAATTATATTGTTATAAAACTATAAGAAAATTTTGGCATTTAAAATATGAATGAATAAAATCGTCAAACCGTCCTGGTTTTCATATTTGTGACGCTGACTCTATTTTGTTTATATGTAGTTATGATGCCACATGGTTTTAGGCTTATTTTTTTTGCATATAAATCCGACCTTTACTAATAAATTTTTGTAACTAATAAGCTTATAGAAAAGTTCTTTGTTTGTCAATATTAACTTTTATTTTTAAATATTACGAGTAATATACTTCAAGTACATACATTGGTATACTCTGACTACTGAGCCATACTGCAAATAGTTCGCACTCATTTAATTTTAAAGTTTATTTATCTACATTTTACAATTCAGTCAATTTAGTTGTATTTACAAAGTTTCTATGTTTAATTCAATTACTTGTTAGTTACAAAATAGTTAATATTAATTTTAAATATGTATTAGTTTAATGCTAACTTTTAGACTTTTTTGTTTTGTACAGAATGCAGCAAAGAACATTGTGTTTTCATGTGCAAGTGTGTGTGTGATTTTTTAGTAGTATCTAAACAAATGACGACTATGCTTCGCATTTGCTCGCTTGTGGTTTTCTGAAGGCATACTTTACGGCGCCACCACATCTCTGCATGCGCTATTTTACTCCGAATGTTTGGGTTTGAAACACATCTACGATCCATCCAATGTGAACTTTTACGAAGCTTCGTTCGTTAGGTACAGTACAATTCGGCCATGGATTTGGTTATTTTCATTTGAGTAAGAAATTTAAGTTTACTTGATTACAACGACTTGAATTACAAACTTGTTTTTCTAGTGTAAAATTGAAGAACACGCGAATATTATCTGCGACATTTTCAATAAAAAATCTGTTTACAAGCCCCACGACTGCTGCTTATGAGTGAGAGAAATATGTACAAAAACAACAGATTAAAGTGAGCAAGGAAACAGTATAATGTACGGTATATAGTCTGAATGTTGTTTTCAGCACCCGCTGTTTGTGTTGGCTCAAAAAAAAAAAAAAATACGCGGAATCACTCTTGCTAGCAGGCGCTACTTTGGACTCATCACAACATTCGATGAGGCGGCTCTTGTGGAATTCGAAAGAAAGTTTTTGTAGAAGTTTCCCGGCCTTTACGCGTTGGCGATGGCGAGTACCGCCGAGACGATTTAATGATGAGCTTTATGAGCTTTACAACGAAATGTACATAGTGCAGCGAATTAAAATACCGCGGCTCCGCTGGCTTGGCCCTGTCGTTCGAATGAACACCNCGACTGGCATGTTGTTGTTGGAGAAAAACATATTCCATCTTATTAGAAAAATTGCTTCTCGAGTCACGATCTTTGGACTTTTCATATTCTCAGTCTGATAAGACTGGCATTTTTGCCAGAGTTCGATAACTAATAGATATAACTAGTGAACCCGCAAGGCGTCAAAATTCCCAAAATTAAATTTTGAAAACTTAAGATATATTCCCAAATGTTAGTCCGAGTTATAAAAGATCCAAGTGCCATATTTCATCTAATCGCATAGTGCATGGCAATTTAATCAATTTTTCAGAAAAAATCTTAATTAAAAAAAATAAAACTTTATCATAAATCTACAGGCCATGGTCTTTAATTTGACTTCTCATTTTTTTCAATTTATTTTAAAAAGTATTCTCATACTAAAATCTTCTTCTGACATTGTGATACACACGTTTTTCAATAAACTGATAAACTAATTTGAACTTTATTGTTCGAACAATTGGCAACCCTCAAAAATAAAAGTCAGGAATAAAGCTTTTCACAACCCTTTTCAATTGTTAACCATCTTTTAATAATTCATCGAACTTATTGAGTAATTTGAATGTAACTTTTTAAAGCGTGGCAACCCTTTTCAAAAATTCCAAATGTTCAAAATAAAGATTTCTTAACATTCTTTCGTTTGACTGCAAGATTTTTTTATTTCATATACTTTTTTTGAATATGTTAATTGAGTTAGACCTTTCAAACAGGTGGCAGTCCTCCTCAAAAGCATTTTCAAGCTTAATCCTTGTTAACTCTCCTTAACCGAATCTAAAATAGTAGAACAAATCCTATTGGAGGTACGATCTGGATTTTGAAGTTTAGCAAAACTTACTTGACGACATTTCTTAATGTAAAGAAATAGTCGATTTTTTACACACCATAAGTATTTAAAGCTTACCAAGCTCCGATTGAAGTAACATTGAGCCATTAACGTTTCTAATATCGTTAACAAACAGTATAAAAAAAAGCGGACCAAGTACGCTACCCTGTGGAACACCAGAGGTCGGCACAAATGAGTTGCAATACATCCCATCAATTACTACAAAACTTTTTCTGCCACCCAGATATGACTTCATCCACTGCAAAAATATTGAATGAAAGCCCATATTAGAAAGTTTAGCTATTAAGATTTTATGTGAAATCCTATCGAAAGCTTTTGAGAAATCCGTGTAAATAGTATCAACCTGATAGCCATTTTGAAAAGTAGTAAAGCAGCCGTCAGAGAAAACTGCGAGATTAGTTAATGTAGATCTTCCTGTCACGAATCCATGCTGATTCACGCAAATTAAATTCTTAAGATTAAAAAACAATTTTTCTTTGATAAAGCATTCAAGCTGCACCAAAAGCTTTTTGGGTTTATTTTGATATTCGCTTCATAATTTCTAATATAGTTTTTATAGCGCGATTTATTCAACTTATTAAATTTTGTC